TCTCTCTCTCTCTCTCTCTCTCTCTCTCTCTCTCTCTCTCTCTCTCTTTTCCTCCAAACTGGATTGAAAAAGCAGGAATGCATTAAACACTGTTTTGGCTACAAACGACATTAAGGCAAAGGCGTGCTGGAAAAGAGATCTCTAATTTTTTTTTTACCCAAATAATTTCCTGCTTGGTAATTAATGCATTTGCAAGGTTGCAGAAAAGGGCCACACCTCCTCCTTTTGCTGGATTTAACCTTGTCAGGGATTGTTGACGGTTATTATCTCATTTTCCTCACTTATCCCAAATGCAAAGCTCCTGTCCCGCTTGCAAACTGGGCTAAGAATCGCCCTGCACAAAGATTTGGACTTGAAGATGCAACTTTGCGTCCCAGCCAGGACAAACGATCTGAGCTGGCCTCTGAGCATGAACAGAGTCCCTTTCTCACCATACCCAGAGGCTATGAAGGAAATCTCGGTGACGAAAGAAGAAAGCAAGACAAGAAAACTTATTGGCAAATGTGGTGTGGTTTGTTTGTTTTTTTCCCTTCTCATTTGGAAAGTTAGGCCAAAAGTTGAACGTTGGAGGAGCCCAAAGGCGAACGGAGCAGAAACAGGAAGCAGAAGAAGTAATAGTTGGTTTCCAAATGTCTCAGTCCAGAAAATGATTTTTAGTTCAGGAAAGGAAAGAGGCGGCCCACACCTCTTGTAACTACTACTGTGTGCAACATAGTCTCGGATACACAAACAAGGTATTTGTGATCCTATCGTGTTTTTTAATTAAATTTTTGGGGAAGCCTCAGGAAATCTTTCCATCTGGAGGAATTTCTCTTGACTCTGCAATCCCAACTACTAATTAGCCGTGATGGCTACAATGCACATCCTTCTTGCTCTCCTCCTTCCTTTGTTATAAAACAGAAGAACGATACAAAGACATAAAGGGGACAATGCCGGACAAAGGATCTTACACAACCGAGAAGGCAGTTTTAGGTGGGTTTAGTCCAGGGGTCTCCAAACCTCAGTCCGTGGGCCACGGCATGCCAAAAAAACGGCCCTTGCAAACAAGCGAAGCCCTATCGGCAAACCAACAAGGTCAATATTTCATGATAAGCCAGCAGAAACCAACACACAACTCCCTGTCCGTCTTTTGCACATGCGTAGGGTCTTCAACTTTGCAAAGAGGGCCCAACGCAGACGTTGTGTGGTTGTTTTTCCTACCCAACCTCAGAGGGATCCTTGTAGCTTGCTGGGGTTTGGGGGATAGAAAAGGAAAAGCCTCCAGCCTTAAATTATCTCGTTCCAAGCCTAGGATCGGAGAGGCTTACGCCGAAATAAGTGTCAATTTCGAGAGAATGAAAGGGTGGTTGATAAGTCTCAAGGTCACTCCCTTCTCCTTGTCCTCCTCCACCTCCCTTTTTAATAAAAAGAATATCGCAAGAAAAGTAACAAGATTGTGGTGATCATAATTGGGATCTAACCCTGAATTAAAACTCAATGGGTGTAATTTAGAAGCTAGCCGGCCAAGCCCTTTGCTTTGAAGAAAGTCACGTCAATTTCGCCGCCTGGGTTGAAAGAGGATAAACATTCATGGATTGCTGAATTTGCAATTAAGTCTGAGCTGCTGAATTGCTCCATCCAGCGATACAAGAGAGCCAGCATGGGACACTGGAGAAGATGTTGGACTAGGACTTCAGAGATGGAGGCTCATCCTTGAAGCTCCTTGAAGAACTTCTCAACTCAACCTATTTTGTTGTTCTGGGAAAATTCTAAAAGAAAGAAGTTATACCTCTTGGGGGGTTTTTACGTTGGGCGGGGCAGGTTACAAAGCTAAAATGATGACATCCACCCCACCTTTTTCAACCCCCTGGTGTCCGGTAGAAGTGCTGTAGGAGAAGAGGAGAAGACCAAACAATCCATCAGATCCATTTCAGCTTAACTATTCCATTTTGCTAATAATTTTGCCCATCACCTAAAGAGATCAATCCTGGGTATTTTATTACCTGGGAAGAAGAAGAAGAAGGAGAAGGAGAAGGAGAAGGAGAAGGAGAAGGAGAAGGAGAAGGAGAAGGAGAAGGAGAAGGAGAAGAAGAAGAAGAAGAAGAAGAAGAAGAAGAAGAAGAAGAAGAAGAAGAAGAAGAAGAAGAAGAAGAAGAAGAAGAAGAAGAAGAAGAAGAAGAAGAAGAAGATGATTAGATATCTTTTCTCCATTTCTGATTTTTCTTTTCCTTCATAAGTTTTAGGCGATTGTTCCTGTATTCATTGAAAAGCTTGGAAACTGGGCTAATTTTAATTCCCTCAATTTTACATTTTTTTACACACTCGCACAAGGCTTCTGTTGAATAAATGTACAAATGGAAAATATGTAGGAATGGGATTTGATTTGCAAAATAAACCTCAACGGATGTTTGCTTGCAAAATGTCATGGAAACACAAGTTGATTTGATTGGCAGTTTTTTTGTCACCGCTGTTGGTTTGGGAAATTTCTCTCTTTTTCCCCCTCACTCACCTACACTGGAGGTTTGCACACCTATTCTCCCAGTATGTGCAATGGAGAAAGTCAACAAACTGTGTCACAAAATTCTGGAAAGTGCAAATATCAAAAGATAACTGCCTTCCAGGTTTGTATATTGAGATTTGGGGAAATGTCAAATGTTTCTTTGCAGAGAGAAAAAATCCTCTGCGTTTCTTTTTCTTAACTGAACAAAATAACTCAAAATGGCCAGTTGACTGATGAGGAATATTTCTTCCCAGTGCTTGAAATTTTCACCGTTTTGGACAGGTTTTTGGGGGCCGTGTGGGCAAGGCTGGGCTGGGAGCCTTTGACCAAGGAGGTCCGAGAAGGTTTGACCAGGGAAGCTCGCGAACCTCTGTAGAAATGATTTTGGGAGGTTTTCGTCAAAAAGGAACGGGCCCCTCTCTTGATGAACGAATGCGAGAGCGTCAGGAAGTTGGCGCGTGGGACCTTTGTGGCGATGACCCGTGAACCTTTGGTGGCCCTGGGTTGGGAGGAGATCTTTGCTTCAGGTTGCAGCGGGTCATCGACCTGGGGGAGATCCGAATCTCTGCCTCGGTTTCCTTGAGGGACCTTGGATGGATACTGTGTGTTGAGTTTTTTGGTCCTCTGGGATAGTTCTTCCTTACTGGAGCAAAGCAGAGGCTCTTCAGAGGCGTAGAAGGTTGGTCGTCTGGAGACACGTGGGACCTGGGTTAAGCCCGGGTGAAGATCTCTGGAGGAATAAAGCACGGGGCCTTTGGTCATCCGAGGAACACGCTCAGGAACCACACAAGGCAAAGAACCCTTGTGGATGGGGCCGTGTGGACCTTTGGTCGTGCCGTCGTATCCAGCTGTACTCTGAATTTGGTATGGGTAGTCCTCTACATCGGACCTCACCAGATTCCCGGTCATTCTCAGTTTTGAGAACTTGGTCAGGCATGCGTCGAAGTCCACAGGGATGGTCCGGGGTTGATACCCAGCTACATGGGCCACTGAGTATGGCGTCACCCAAATCCCCCGTCTGTAGAGTGGGATGTTTCTGGAGGAAATCAACTTTGACCCGTAAAGTGGGACAAATTGGGATCCATACCTCGGAAGTCTTTTCTTAACGAACATTGGCAACGGGGGGCCTATCGGCTTACAATGATAGGCATAATAGGGCATCTTTTCTCGGGCGTAGCGATGCCTATAAGGACGAAAAGAGGAACTGCTTATGCCTAAACTTTCATCCCCTGGGTTTCATTGACGTACATCAGTAATAACTATTCATTCATTCATTCTTTCATTCAATCATCGATTGATTCATTCATTCATTCGTTTGTTCATTCACTTTCAGCCCCCTGGTTTCATTGATTCAGTCAATACATCAGCAATAACTTCTTTAATAAATTCTTTCATTCATTTGTTCATTCTTTCATTCATTCATCCATCCATTCATTCATTCACTTTTAGCCCCTTGGTTTCATGGATTCATTCAATACATCAGCAATAACCATTCATTCATTCATTCATTCATTCATTCATTCATCCATTCATTCTTTCTTTCTTTCTTTCATTATTTCATTATTTCCTTCATTCTTTCATTCAGTTTCAGCCCTCTGATTTCATTGAGTCATTCAATACAACAGCAATAACCATTCATTCATTCATTCAAACCATCTTTGTTCTGCCTCCACATTTTTAGGGATAGGTTTTTAAAGATTTGCAA